AAAAAAAAAAAAAGCACCAGTGAAAATTACACTAATAACACATTGAGTGCCAAGGACTGCCACTCTCAGCAGTTCCTGTGTTAGAATGATATCCACTTCTTAGCAGATTTGCTACTTACATTTCTATCCCTATTCGTGTGTCACTGGATTCCCCTCACAGTATGATCAAGTTTAAGTCTTTCACTTTCTGATTATTTCCAATGTGCATTTGGGCACGCTTGTCACATCATGAAGGCAGATTTCAAATCATAATAAATGCATACATGCAAAACCCTATTCAGTTTCAATGAACTAAATCTGGTGAAAACAAACAAGGTGGATATATTGACCAAAAAGGGATGCGATAAGATCAATACTGCCAATGAGATGCAGAGAAGAGCCTTTTGGGCACATGTTCCTAGCAGAGCCATGTAATGAGCAGCCATTGATCTGATGAGCTCAGCTGGCGTGTGATGCTGACCATCTCTTACCTTCTCATACTGTGTGGCCTTCAGTACGTGACTAAGTAGCTCACGATTGAGCCGTTTTCTCTCCAGCAAAGCATCCTGAAGCTCATTCTTCTGTCAAGAGGAAAAAGAAAAAACGAGTCAGCTCATTGTCATCATCATTGTCATCTATCTATCTATCTATCTATCTATCTATCTATCTATCTATCTGTCTGTCTGTCTGTCTGTCTGTCTGCCTGCCTGCCTGCCTGCCTGCCTGTCTGCCTGTCTGTCTATCTAACTATTGACAGTGCTGGTGAGAAGTGCAACTGCAGAGAAATACAAGTTTGGACAAGACGTCTGGCAGTATCATACAAAGGAAAGAAAGATCAACATATAAATCTCCTTGTAAACAACAGGGTGCATGTGACTGATTAGAGAATAAACCCATGGGTGATGAACTCACAATCTCTTGAACACAAAATCTCTTTGGACGATAGGGAATGAAGATGGGTGCTCATTTTGTCATTCATCATTGGCTGTGCTTAAAGAGCCACCCAAATCTCAAAACATCTAACACGGTGTGTATGAAAAATTAATCAATACTTCATGGAGAATGGTACTCTGCAGCAATTACCACAGACCAGATTAAATTTGTTGGTAGATTATCTTTTTAATTGGATTGAGGTAATTTATGCTTCTTTTTTGAAGTGTATAGTTTTTTTTCTCGTCACTAGCATCACTAAATGAAACTGCAAAAATAAAGAACGTTTTCTAACAGGTTTCCCATTGGTCAGATAATTAAACAGTTAACCCTGCCCCCAAACTCACGCCATTCAGAAATTGTTTCGATTTTGCCTGGTTCAAACACACCTATATGTTTTGGATGTTACAGAGCACCTGAATTTCTCATTTATGGGGGAGTCAACCTACAAATAGCTTACTTACAGATGTCTCTACATATTAAGCTAGGATAGCATTTTAAAATGTAAAACACTGCATACCTTTAAACAATTAAACAATGTTTAGAAAAATGAAGAAAAAGACTTGGCAACAGGCAATGAGAAAGACAACGAAAATCATCTCACTTCTGAGCAGACAACTTGTATCTTACCACACTATATCTACCCATAAATGCACCCCCTAATTTGACTGTTTAACACAGCGGCCCATCTCTTGAAGTTTTCAAAGTGCCACACCCTGGCTGAACTCTGTGAGCGTCTCTGACTCAGCATCCTGTCCCTTCCTGACTGGCTTACATGTCACAGTATATCAGGTGGCAGGTTTGCTCAACAGCAACTAGAGGAACATTTGAACTTTCTTGTCAGAAGCCCTGTCTGACAACCACAGTGTCACCCTGGACATGACAGCTACTGCACACGAGGGTGGCGCACACTCAACTGCCTGCAAACAGTGACCACCACAGACCTCCCATGGGATCACGTGAAGCATATCCACATATACATTTGGGAACATTTTAGCCATCATGTTCTATTACCTCATATGAAAGGACAGTCTTTAACCTCTGCTCAAGGGACCTTTAGGAGGCAGCTGAAATGGCTGCACATTGAAACCAGGAGTAAAAAATATGCAGTTCATTGCGCAGTCATGGCTGATTAAATGCAGCTTTAATGTGGTAAAGATTAGACTACCATGGGATTATCAACTGAAACTCTCACAGGGATGTGAGTTAAAGCAGCGGCACATATCATACCCAGGAATCCTGCTTCTGATTTCCATATGGATGGCTCAAGAAGCAGAACAGCGAAAGAAGGAGGCGGTCTTGGGAAGAGAGAGAGAGCGAAAGCAAGCCACAAGAATGGACTAATTCGAGCAGACATGGCTGCCTGATCCCCACCCTCCAGTTTGGCCCCTGGTTCTGCAGCTGCTCAGAAAAGCTTTGCTCATCCTTCCACAACATTCATTGAGATGAGGCTCTTTACATGGCCAACCACTGCAGCATTGTAGATGTATATAGGGAGTGTGGGTGTTGTTATACAACCATAGACATATAACAAGAGAAACAAAACTCTGGGATGCAGTTAATCTGTGGGTCAAGTCGAACTGAGATAAGATTCTCAATACTCAATTTTAGTTATGTTAAAGAAAATGAACTGAGCAATTAATTCTGTTTTAAATCCAGACAATGTTTAGACCATTTTTTTTAAAATAAATAAATAAATAACAATAATAATAAATTCATTACTGTATGTAGCAGCCTAATTAAAAATGTTTGTACAACATATTATATAAACAGACCTATAATAATATATAAACAATATAATAACATTTAAGTTACAAATATTATAATTTATTTATATAAAAATTATAACATTTATGTTTTTAAAATACATTTTTTTCTTGACTATTTTAAAATGATAAATAAATTGCTTTTACTGTAAATGGCATTGTGGTACTTTTTCCAGTTTTCTAACAATAAACATAAAAAAATGAATATACAAATAAAAAAAACACACACACACAAAAATAGGTAACAGCATTGCAAATTTATCCATAAATGAAACAAAAAATATATTTGTTTGATCATTTTTCTTGCGCATCAGGTTTGAATGAGACACCAAAGTATACCATATTTGTTGAAAGTGCTGAAAAAATTAACTGAAATAGTTTTTGATGGAGCATAGAATGGCAACTTCCCTAAAGTATTTCAAGTCAACTATCCATATATTCATTGCTGTACCAGTGTACTGGCACTGGCGCACTGAGTACTACACTCATTCTTACTAAAACACGTTTTATTTACCCACAATACATTATTGTGGGTAAATAAATCTGATCTTATATACAATTTACCATTGTATATAAGATCAGCCTCCTCTTTTCAGGTTTTTAAATCTTCACTTAAGACTTATCTTTTTGAAACGGCTTATGGTCTGGAGTAAATGCTGTCAAATATTTTGATAATGTGTGATGTTATCTTTGTCATAATTTGTGATTTGTTTTATATGGTTAGTTGTTTTATGTATTTAATTTTTTTATTTTGTACAGCACTTTGGTCGACACTGTCGTTATTAAATGTGCTATATAAATCAATAAAACTAAACTAAACTAAACTAAACTAAATTCTTTAACATGCAGCCTATAATGGCAGATCTGTCAATCTTAGGTGATATCTCCAGTCTGTACCTGTAACAAACAGAAATCTTAGCCTCTGATCCTGCTGTGAAAGCTCAGGGCTCCTCTCCCGCTGAGAGCAGGTGGTTGCCATGACAGCTACAGGAGGTCAGCAGGGAGGCCGCAT